TAATAATAGTATTTTTAATCTGCATATTGACTTTATATAGGTACACATTTTATGTGAAATACAATCGTGAGAATTTTATATAGACTGGTTTTTTGAGTTTAACTTCACTATATCTAGGTTTTAATTAGATTTCGCCATTCTGAAAGTTTATGAGAGTTGTCGTTTCGCTTTGATTTAAACTATTAATTTGAGAAATTATTTTGAGTAGACATACAATTCATTCTGAACGACAATTTTGCGATTTTATGGAATAAATAGCAATGTTGCATTGGGGTATTCGGTCAACTATGTTTGACAAAACTATATGCAGTATCATATAAAAATTGATTATTAAAGATTTTTTTGAATTTGTGATTAGAATAATGATCAGATTATTTACGTATCACTTTTTATATATGATTTAATAGTAAAAGATGACTTGCATGTTTTTAGATGTCTAGAGCGAATCGCTTTACATTTTTCGATTAATTTAGCATAATTTTATTCTTAAACATATTTATAACAAAGTTACGTTAAAAAATTTTATGTTCTAGTATTAAATTTTTTTACCTATAACGAAGACATCTTTCTTTAAATCGTTCACAATATGAAGCAGAATTTTTGTAAAGAGTCAACTTGAAATTTAAATATCAACGTTAAAAAAATTTCAACGTAACTTTGTTATAAACATGTTTAAGAATAGAATTATGCTAAAATAATTGAGAAAAGTGAATCGGTTCGCTCTAGACATCTAAAAAAGTCATCTTTTATTATTAAAACATATATAAAAAGTGATAAATAATCCTTATCAATATCTTGATCACTAAATTAAAAAAAAAAACCTTAATAATGAATTTTTATATGATACCGCATATAACATAGTTGACCGAATACCCCAATGTTGCATGATTAAATTTTAGATATTTTTTCTGGAATCAATGAAAAACAAAGTGTTTGTGATAATGAATTCAAAATAAAAACGTCTGTGAGTAAATGAATAAAAATAAAAACATTTGCGAGTAAGTGATTAAAAAATAATTTGTGGATTATGATTCAATTTTTATTATATTTCTGTTATCAACCTAATTACAGACTAAATGTTTAAAGTTTTATTTAGTATATTGTCCATGTTACCACGTTACTACAAGAAACACGTTTTACCAGGATTATACGGCAATCCTCGTCTGACAATTAATCGCTTTTATGAATCACTATTCGGGTTAATTTTGATTAATAAATTACAATTTATTAATGTTATTGGTCGTATCTGGTATCTTTATAGATACTACTAGTGTCGTGTGCTAAACTGAATACTAAACTGAATAACTAGCCTTTGTGAAATTATTTTGCACTGGTGAAATGTTTTTAGTTTTTTGAAAAATGATTTTGTTAAAATTTTATTAATAAAATATTAATCATTTATCATTTTTTCCACCACCATTTTTTATTTTTGGAACCATTTTCAATTAATTTATCTTCGTCTAATAAGTGCTCTTCCCATTCTTTCTGAAAAATTTTCAACTCATCATTTTCAGATTTTCTTACAGCTTCACGTAAACCTGGTGTATACTTTGGGATTGTTTCTTTCATCTTGTCGTGAAATTCTTTAAGCC